AAATAATAAAATATTTTTTAATGTTCTTTTTGGGAGGGTTGGCTCCTGGTCATATGTTGGTGCCTACCTGTCTGGTCCTGGGCTTCTGCTGGTGCCAGATGTTGGTGCAAGCAGAGCTCTGAAGCACGGCGGGCTTTGCCCCCACCTCTCCTCCTAGGGTAGCAGTCAGGGGGGTCACCCCAAGAACGTGTTGAAAATCTCAGATGGCCTCTGAGCTGCTGGGTCTTTCCTGCCATCGTGGGAATCTCAGGAGAGAACCATCCTGTGAGGAACTTGTGAACAGTTAGCTAAATGGAGAACATCAGTACACGGCCAACGTGCAGACACCCACGGTCACTAGGGACCAAGCCCATGCCCCATGTCCAAGAGCATCTCTAGGTCTTCTGAACACCAGTCGCCACCTAGGACTCTTGGACATGCGTCTGAAACCCCTGGGGCTTACAATAACAGACATCTCGGGGCCTTGTTGCCAAAGTTTCTAATCTAGAAGTTCTGGAAAAGGGCTTGCAGATTTACATTTCTTTTTTTCTTTTTTTTTTTTTAATTTTTTTTAATGTTTTATTTATTTCTAGGAGAGAGAGAGAGAGACAGCGTGAGCAGGGGAGGGTCAGAGAGAGAGGGAGTCACACACTGAAACAGGCTCCAGGCTCTGAGCTGGCAGTCAGCACAGAGCCCGACGCGGGGCTCGAACCCACGAACCGCGAGATCATGACCTAAGCGAAAGTCGGACGCCCAACCGACTAAGCCACCCAGGCGCCCCTACATTTCTAACAAATTCTCCAGTGATGTGATGCTGCTGGTCCAGAGACGCGTGTTGAGAAACAGTGGTTAGGGCCATGGGCCATGGGTGATGGGAATACCTAAAAGGCCAATGGCTGATGGACCTGTCGGTTGTCTCCATTTTCCCTCCAGTGCCAAGTCCCTTCATATGCTCAGCACAGCCTCTGCGATGAACCCAGTCCTTCTCTCCGTAACTAGGTAGCAAGTGTACCTGTAATTTTGGACTTTCATGGTGTCAGCCTGACTATAGGTCTGCTAAAATGGTGGTGAGGTTTAGTTCTTTGAAAAGAGGGTTTTCTCTTAAGGATATAGAAAGTGGCCAAGGTGAGGGGGTGGGGTGGCAAGAAGGGACCAGGACATAATCCAGTGAGGGCTGCTCTTCTTTGCCCAACGCTCTTGTCTCTATTTCCATCTTTAGTACAAACAGAAGGAGGTATTGAAGAGGTACCTCTCTGTACCAAAAGATGGGCAGACTTCCAAGATCCATGAGAGAACAGGGTGATTGAATCATCTGTGAGCTCCTCGTCACCCCAGAAAAGGGGCAGAACATCTTGGTCAGGATGCTAGATGGGAAGGTGGGTGCCACCATTTACCAGCTAGTTGTAGAACTCCCCGTTGTCTTCCAGGTGAGAGGTGAGCCTGATGGCACCAACCTGAGAGGGCCGGTGCCATGCTTAAGGGAGAGCACACGTCGGAAACCATGTCTGGCATATGGGATGTGCCCAATAAATGGTGGCCAAGAGGATCTGGGTGTGTTTGGGGCGGCCCAGGGATAGGCTCGTGCTCTGCTAACAGGGCTTTTGAGGCACACGGAGTCTTTCTGAACCACGTGTAAGTCTGTAATGATGCGTGGAACACTTTGCAAAAACTACTTCTCAGGGGACGTCCCCTCAGGAAAGGCTCTAAATCTGCTCAGAGTTACGTGGCTTTAGCTCTAGAAATGGGAGCCCCCTTCTTTAGAAATGAGGGAAGGGGGGCCCCTCAAGCGTGGGTTTCTCCCTCCCCTGCCCTGACATGTCCGGCAGCACAGAAGCCTAATACTTTACACAAGGGACCCACATATCACTTATCTCTGAAATTGGTCTGTGAGGAGCAATGAATATTTTCTGTGCCCTCTCGGCTTTAACTTTCTGAGAAATAAAAACAGTGGACTCCCCAGAGCTGGACACCTTGGTGTTGTTGAATACGGTCCATCCTCCTGGGCAGCTGTTTCGAAATCTCAAAAAGTTGGCTCCCAATGCTGTCAGAATCCACCGTGAGTCAGCACGAACAGGATGTGAGTGCCTGGCTCGTCATTTTCCCAAGCGTTGACAAAGACTGTGGTGCAGAACAGGCTCAAGTGTGTGTTCTGTACATGGGTGGCTGGGGGCTCTGGCTTGGCCTTTGAGTAGTGAGAGATTGACAGTGCCACGGACGTGACAGCAAACTGAAGTCTACGGCTTTGCTCCCCCGCCCCCACGCCCTGGTCCTTACTGCCTGGGAAAGAGGCTTGGGTGAAACTATCCAGTGAACCATCTGGTCTGGGGGTGGATGTCTGAGCTACTGTTTTCTCGCCCCTCCTCAGTTTCCCAGGCCTGGAGCCTTTCCTCTGCCGTGAGGAACAGAAAGGGGAGGATTTGGGAGCTAGCACAGGGAACATCCAGAAAATTGCCTGGGCTACATTTCAGGTTCCCGATGAGGGCTGGTATTTGCAGTGTGACATGTACGACCCTGAGGCCATCCCTCAGATCTTGTGTGCACAGTGGGAGACCTACTGGGGGCCCCTTCAAAACTAGAGATGTAGTTCAGCCAGACTGGGAGTGAGGAAAGGAATAACATGTGACCTTTGGGACTGCCCAATGCAGAGCTGGTAGTTTCCACCCAGTATCAGTGGATGCTGGCATGTGAGAAGCCACATGTGTGACTGGCTCTGAATTAGGGGCAAATCTTCTAAAGTTCCTGAATGGGCTATTTCAGGTTGTTGTTTTTTTTTAATGAAAGCTAGATAGCCAGGCCAACATGGAGTCATTGTGGATTTTGCTTGTCCATGCAAGCTAGCTCTGAATTTAAGGACTAGTTAGGAGGGTTCCACACCTTGGTCCCAGCAGTGTCCCTTCCAGTCTGATCTTAAGACAATTGCCAACTTCCTCCCTTTGGGTACCTGTAAAATGAAGGTTGACCAGATGTTCCTTAAAGCTCTATCACGTCTCACTCTTGTGGTTTTGGTCAAGGTCTGCATGGTTGGGGGTCTGGTACTTAAGTCTGCCTGGACTGTCATACTTTGGTGTTTTATCCCTCAGAAAGGGGGTAATTGGAGGAGAGCACAAGTTCCTAAGCCACCTCTCTATCTCAATGGTGAGACTACAGGACCCAGGTTTTCCCTTGCACCCTTCTCCACGGCTGACACATTTCTTCGCTCCTGTTTTCCCTTTGGCCACCCGGGAAGGCACTGCATTAGAAATCTTGGGGTCAGTTTCCAGACTTTAAGTCACATTAGAAAAAGCCAGCTCATAGGACACAAATCAGGAAGCTGGTTTTCCCAACAGATTCATCTGAGCAATGTTCTTCCCAGAATGTTAGCTAGCACAGAACCAGATTTATAACCTCTCCGAAAGTCCGGGATTTCGCTGCCGCTGGCAAATGGGGCCCTTGACAGAGCAAAACAAAACAAACAAACAGCAACAGCAACAACAACAACAACAACATCTCAGGCTGTAGGAGTTGAGGTGAATCAGCTCACTCATTTGTGCAGAAGGTTAGGGGAAAGGTAGAAGGAAAACAATACAGAGTTTCCAGAAATAAATACAGACGAGCACAAGCGCCAGGCAAGGGTTGGGCACAGCAGGGACGATGAGCGTAAAGAGGAGCTTTAAACTCTGCCACTCAACAGAGCCCTGCCGGCAAAGGCTCCAAAGGCTCCTTGTGTAAGAAGGGTTTGGGAAGCACACAATAAATGAATTTCAACAGATTTCTTTATTTCCTAACTTCTCAGGGTCTTTTGTATGCCGCTGTGCATTGTGAATGACTGTCTGGGGGAGGATGGAGTTTTTCCAAAATCATGCACCCCTTTCCTCCCTTTTTACAGAGGATTTTGCGCCATTAACAAAAGTCAGGAAGTGGGAGGGGCAGAGGCAGCCGGTTTTCCTGGTGAACTCAGGGCTCCATCTTGGGCAGGTTGCACGCGGAGGAGACAGCAGACCCAAGGAAGCTCCACGTGGACGGGCGGAGCCTGTTTCTTCTCTGACCAGACGGGTGTGGATTCAGCCTCCTTCCCACGGCAGTTCTGTCTCCCGCCTTCTCATCCTCCCCCGCATGCCTGAGCCACAGATTTAAGCGCAAAGCTGGCTGGTAGGGCCGCCATCTTTGGGGGAGGTGACACCATCCACATTGTCCCTCTGCCTGTCTTTGGAATGATCCTTTCACTTGTTTGGGAACTGAGACTAAGCTTCCTTCCGCAAACAACGGGCTGCTTGGGAGCCAAACAGTGCTGGTCTCGAGAGGCCAAGCAGTTTTAATTAGAACCATTGTCCTCAGAGCTGTCTCAGCCCTGTGCTGTCCTCAGGGCTCTTGTTGGGTCGCGGGCCCCTTTCTAATCTTTTCCTCCTTCCACCTCACTGAGACTTCTTGGTGCAACCCAGGCCGTTCACGATGCTTTGGTGAACCTGGGAGGCTAACTCTCCCGGGATGGGAAGAAGACAAGGGACCTGAAGTTCAGCCTCCATCTTCCTTGCCTGTCCTCGCTGGGCTGCAATTCCCTGGTGACCTCTCTCACGTGTCTTTGACCCTTGAGGAGTGCTGCTCCCTGTAGCACCTGGGCAAACACTGGGCTAACACCGGGCGTTGTCCTGAAAGTCCCGTGCGACCCTTTAGCCAGGCCAACAGGGGCATGTAGGGGAAGAGCCTCAACATGGCCCCAGCAGTAGACCCTGGCCCAGAAGGTCGGAACTAACTTCAGCTTTCAGTAAACAGGTAGTGGGCCTCTGGGAACATCTGCCTTTTCTGTCTCTTGTGAATTATTTTTAAATGAACGGCCCTGCCACCCGCCTCCCTCAACCCCCACCATCCGTGCCCGCAGTTTTAGTTGATTATCGCTATTTGAATAGATGCTGATAAATTTGATCCCCCAGTTTACTGTGGCATTCATGATCTGTCTTTCCCTTTTCGGTTTCCATGTTCTGGAGTGACTGTCTCTCAATGCGGTTGGCAGTGACCTGTGTTTTTCATGCATGTTTTTGTTTCAGAATAACTGGGAGATGAAACAGGAAGCTCTATGACACAGTTGATCGAAAATGACACAGACACAGAAAAATCAGGACTCGGCCCCCTCCAGTGCCTCTACCTGCTGCCCACGGCCGGAGTGCAGGTGAAGGGTTTCCCCCGGGGCTTGGTCCTAACTGCTGTGGACTCTAAGGAACCCCTCCACGGTCACCCACAATGTGTCTGTGATGTTGTGGTCATGGTCTAGTCTGGCTGGTTTCCTATGTACCTGGCCAGCCTCTGCGTGTCTTTTGCCTTCATTAAAAGCAAAAGTCAAGAAAAATGAATTGCTTGCTTATTAGTTACACTTGAGCATTAACTTAAAGGGCACCAAATAGCGTCTGAGATTAATTTCTATAGCACCACAAGTGAACCCTGCCATAACCACACAGATCATGATGACATGTTTAGAAGTGTATTGAACTTGAATCTCTTATTACTCAGCCTTGTTTGCCTGGCCTTTTCTTCTAGTCAGTAGTGACACATTGACATTTGAAGAAAACCCTGGAAGCCCCTTGGAACTCTTTTTCCATACCTACTCTAATCATGGCTGGCTAATGGTGACCCCAAAATCATCACTAACTTCGAGCTTTCTACTGGAAACCTCTGTCTTCTCAGCTGCCTCCTTCTCTTTCCCCCACCCATCGGTTACCTTCGCTCCATGAGGTTTCTTGAGCTCTTACTGTATGGCATGTTCTAGAGACAAGTTGGATGGGATGAACTCTGCCTCTCCGCCCCCCCCCCCACTTCTCTAACCTATTTGCGAGTGGGTGCTGCTGGGGCTTTGCCCACAAAGTGTATGGTATCACTGTGTAGCTCGTCATGGCTGGACCACATGCTCCTTTCATTTTGAAGCCCTGGTTTCTTCAATCCAGCCTTCAAATCCAAGCCTCTGGAATTAGTATCTAAACATTCTTTAAAATGGGTGAATGTCAAAGCATCCTTTGGGTGGAACCTTATCCTCACCCCCAACCCTTAATGGGACAACTCAGTCCTCCTGGGGACCTGGCCAGAGAGGTCATTGGTAGCTGCCTTTCAGCACCTCTTGTCAGTCTTCACTTTTAAGCTTAGCAGATGTCCACAAATGATGTAAGATGACAGTGTTGTATTGTTTCATGCTTCTCAGAATTTAACTCCTCAGTTGCCCCTGATGATAATCTCACCTGCCCCTATTGCATGCCCCACCGTATACCGCAAATGCATGTCTGGGTCTCGGCGCTAATGTACCCCACTCCCTCACTCAGAGGCTCATTCGGACCATCTGTCCTGAGACAACCCTCTTCCCCCACTATTTCCCTCAACTTCATAATCCTATTTTATTTTCTTCACCCAACTTACCAATATCAACAATTATCCTGTTTGTTCATTTATTAATTGGCTGCATTCCTCCCACCTGCCTTCCAAATTTCAGTTCAATGAAGGAAGATTCTAGTCTGTCTTATGGCCCAGTCTGTCCCCAGCACCTGGCACTCTCTGAATAACTATGTGTTGACTGACTCCATCATCTTATCATTTCTCGTAGTGACACTCTGATATTGAGTTGCCCAGTATTCTAACCACTGTTGGGTGGATTAGGAAATTGCGAATCCATTTACCTCTGGTGATCTAAGGAGGTGACTGGAGTAGCCAAGGTGGGGACATGGGCTTTCTGTCAGTATACTTACTGCCTGGCAGGAAAGGTTGATCATAAGCTCTCTCTATCTGGATAATCAGATTCTCACCTGAAACCAAGCTTTGCCTTGCAAATCAATGTCCGTAAGTTAAGTCTGATTTGCTTATGTTCCTGGAAGATTAAAGGCAACCATGTAGCACAGGGATGCGTCCCCAGTGAGGGGTCTGGAGTATGGGACCCTCGTCCTCCCTCTGCAAGCAGTTGCCTGGGTGAATCACCTAACCTCTCTAGATGCTCCTTTCCTCGGCAGAACTCCAAGAAGACCAGATGATCCCAAAGATCCTGCCTTGCCCTGAGGTTCCTTTCCCCTCTCTGCCGGTTCTGTTTCTCAGAGTTCTAGAAGAGGAGGCAGTGCAGAAAGGTATCACAGGGAAACACAGACAAACCCCCTGAGAATACACAGAGCCCAAGCCCAGTTGTGGGTTTACAGATGTGCCCCTTGGGGTGCTCACATACACACCTCAGGTCCTTTAGACACATCCCCGTCCTGGTATGTTTAGTTCACAAGGACAACAGAAGGAGCAAAATAAATTGAGTGCACAATTCTAGATGGTTGGGGCAATGGTTCTGAACCTTGGCCGGACATCAGAATTACCCAGGAGTTTTCAAAAATCCAAATGTCCAGGCTTCACCAGGACCAATCACAACAGAGTTTGGGATGGTGGGGGCAGACATTAGTATTTTTTTTTAAAACTCCCCAGGCAATTCCATCAGGTAGCTGAGGTTAAGAACAGCTGATCTGGGGCCATATTGTCTGATATGTCTAGTAGCCACATGCATTTCCTGAAAACTTAAAACGTGGCTGTGTGACTGAGGAGCTATGCTACATTTTAAATTCCTTTTTATTTTGGTTCATGTAAATGTAAATATCCACATGGGACAGGGCCTGCTGTATTGGACAGCACAGATCTAGAACACCTGTATCATCACAGAAAGTTCTACCAGATGGCTCTGTCTAGGTACACTCTGAGGCCTGTAACCACCGAGTGAAATTACACTGATTGCAAGAGAAGTTTAAAGTAATGATCTCAGTCTGTTCATTTGACTAGAGCCTGCTCTCTTGTCCTGGGCCTTCAATATATTTTTCATCTACCTTTTGAGCCTGGGCTCTTGCAGTCACAAAGCCCTGCATGGTAGGATCCAAAAGAATTTAAAATACCTACAAAAGTCCAAGGCTCTGCTCCAGGTCACTTGCCATTCACTCTGGCTCTTCCCTCAGTTTGCATCTTTGAAGACTCAGCCCTGGAAAGGGGGCTGTCGGAGTGGTTGTTTCAAGAACCAGAATGTAGGACAGTGGGAAGCAGGCCTCCCGGGAAGAGCTTCTGGAAAAGCAGATGGCCGACCGAGGGGTTTGGAGTTTTGCAGAAGTTGAGAGTTCTGTGGGAGCTGGGGCTGTGAGATGGGCTGGTTGAGGCCACTTGGCAAGCTCAGCCAGTGTGGGGTGACAGGTGGAGAAACAGAAGCCAAGGCTGAATCATTTTCTGCTTATCACTCAGAGACTGTCAGAGTTCTCTTCTTTTTTTGGAGGGAAAGCACCTTACAACAAATAATAATACTATTTTGAATTTCGAAGCTTTCCCTTTTTCAAAGCACTTTACCACCTCTGACTTATTTTGTCCTCAAAATAAGGCCGTAACGTAAGTAGGGAAAGGGTTTTTAGTGCCTGTCTGACACCCTGAGAAAGAGCTCAGTATTACGGAAAGAATGAAATAGTAAAAGTGGAGACTCTGAAGCGTTATTTTGACCTTCCTGGTCACACTCAAGCACGTAGTAGCGCAGCTAGAACCAGCCATACCTGAATGTTGTTCTCCTACAGGGGATTGTGTTTTTCAGAAAACAAAGGCTTCACGTTTGTTCTGTCTCATTTCGTCTTAGCTTTCTAACTCTTGCGAGTTGATTGTGGGAGGCCCTTTTTTTCCCTCAGAGGTTGGTGTGATTTACAAATGTGATAAATACGCCTTCAGTGTCTCCCCCCCCCACCCCCAAGTTAGTTTTAAAGTGGAGCGTGAGACAGAGCACAGGATGGGGCCCTGTGGGTCTCCATGGAAATATCCCTGCTTCTCTCCAAAGGACGGGAGGGGAGCAAAAAGAAGCTGTGGACCAACACGGCCACCTTGGAGCCTTCGGTTTTCTCTACATGCAGAGCTGCAGAGGGTCATTTCAAACCTCACTTGCCAGTGGGGAGAAAACACCCAACAGTCTATGTTGAGATCGAGTGGGTGGTCTGGCCAGCATGGCCGTCCCCAGCAGCGGGTGTGGGAGTATCGGTAGCAGGACCAAAGTCATGCCATGGTCTGACCTCTTTGGGAAGGTCGTCTCGGCAGCTGTGAATTCTCCTGGTCATACTGTCATCTGGCCCATCTTTTGTATCTCATGTACATAGGATATGATGAGAGGTTTTCAGATGCTTTACTGAAAGCAAGACATACTTTCTGGGGCATTCCCCTAATCGACTGTTCTGGTGAAGCTCGTCAAAACAGGAAATGAGGTTAGCATGGAATGACTTTCTCTTAGAGAACTCGTGGTGCCTCTTAGAGACCACCACTTTCTTCCCAAAGGCCTGTGAACTTTGTCTTAATGCCTCTTCTGGGTTGGCCCGGAAATGGGAGTGAGTCTGCTCTTCTGCAGCTTTTAGAACCCATTCCTCTGGGAAAGGGTGGTAATACTTGCTCATTCATTCCCAGCCTTCCAGCTTCCCTTCCATTCGTGCCAGTACCTCTAAGTGTTTGCAAGTTGCTCTGAAGGTAGAGGTGCGCAAACTTCAAGCACAGCAAAAGCACGGCTCCGTGTACGTGCCCTTGGCTGAGGGGGTCACATGTGGGCTTCAGGTAGCACCCTCCTCATGCTGCTTGGCCCACATGCTCCCTCTTCATCAGACGTGCCAGCAAGAGAAACAAATCCAGTGGGTGAAAACTTAGTGAAAACAATCCGCCTTCTTGCCCTGCTCCACTTGTGGGCATCTGGCTCAGAAAGGCACTGTAACTGAAAGGACAGCGCCCAGCCTCCTTCACGTGAATCCCCGCGTTGGGTTCTCTGACTCAGTTTTCAAAAGCAGTGAGGGTTTCATAGTCTGGGCGAGTGGCAACATGCTTATCTCTGCTGAGGCTTTCTGACAAATGGCTCAACCTCAAATTTCTAGATTTAAATGTCTTTTTGTTAACCCCGAGATCCTTTTGAGTCACATTTGCTTTTATCCAGTAGAAGGGAGTCAACCTGAGGAATGTCTGGCCTTGACTGACAGGTGTCCATGGAGGACTGATGTCTCCAAATGTGAGATTTGAGGTCCGCCTATACACTTCTGTAATCGCGGGCTGGCCTCCCTTTTAACATGACGCAGCAGGACCTCACAAGCCATCTGGGTCCCCATGATGAATGGGACATGCTCTCCTTTAACCTGGGGTCCCTGCCTCACTTTCCCCAGGTCTACTACAGGT